CAGATTCAAGAATTCCAATGCACACCTTTATACTAGTGTTACTGATTCTCCAGCATTGTCCAGGAGCATCTAGAAAATGAATGATAATCTTCAGACCATTGCTGTAAGCAAGTAAAGAGAAAAACCACTAGGACTTACAAAAATACTTTTTAAAAAATTGAAAACATTTATCAGACACAGAAGTATAGATCATGGAAATGTAGCTCTTAGCTAAAACTGGAGGTTCAGGCAATGAATTAATAAGGCTATTCACTTTGTGATTGGTATAAAAATATCGTACAACACGTGAATGAAAGAGTTCTTATTCGTTCATGAGCTATGGACAACACTGTCCTGGCCAGTATTTATTCCTGTCTTGGATTAGCCTTGAGAAACTTATGTTGAGCTACCTTCTTGAACCATGGGAGTCATGGTGTGTACGTGACCCCACAACACTATGAAGAAGGGAGTTCCAGGATGATGAAAGGAGTGTGCTGTAATTCCATGTCATCATGGTTTTTGTCTTGAGGGGAACGTGCTGATGTTGCACTCTGCAAGACAGGTCTGTGCGGACTGGAGAGGTCTCATGAGGACCTGGCAAATATTGGATACAAATGTCCATGGATGAGGGGTGTGTGTGCCTGAAAACCATGTGATGCTATTTTGTGCTGAGCAACATGTAGGCTTGGCATCTAGTTTGCTCGGGGCGGCAGTAGAATAGCAGTCTATGTATTAATGAGGCAAAAAATCTGCTATTAATAAGGTCCTTAACAAGCACTAATCTCCCTTAGAAAACAACTTGCAGTCACTAAGTGGGAATCTTGCCTTGTAGCCCCAAACTACTTAAAACATTAAGCAAGTTGTTTCCGATGTCCAGATAGGCTTCAGTGATTCTGTCACATTTCTCAATGTCGCTCACATTGTTCAGGCTCCTACAAGAATCTGCCCAAAGACACAGACAATGTTAACTCTGTTTTTCTCTCTGCACTTTTCCCCAGAACTTTCTGCAATTATTTCAGATTTCTAGCATCTGCAGTAATCTGCTTTTGGGACTATTTTATCCAGGATGGTTTGGAGCTTCTTGGGTTGTTGGAACGACACTCATCCAGGCAAGTGGAGAGCATTTCTGCTTTGTATCTTGTAGTTGGTGGACAGGTTTTATGGAGTCTGGAAGTGACTTAACTACCACAGACTTCCCAGCCTCTGACCTGCTCTTGCAGACAAATTGTTAATGTGTGACTGGTCCAATTACATTTCTGGTGAGAGATTGATCATGAAAGATTTCACAAATGGTCATGCTTTTTCATGTGAGAGTGGTGGTTATTTTTTTTTCTTGATGATGATTGTTGCCTGGCACTGTGTGGCATGCATGTTACTTGATACTTAACAGCAGAAGCCTAAATATCGTTCGTCTTGCTTCATGCAGCACAGACTGCTTCATTCTCTGAGGGATCATGAATGGGGTGGAACACCGTACAATCATTGACTGGCTTTCCCATTTCTGACCTTATGATGGAGGGATCATTGATGCAGCAGCTGAAGGTGGTTGGGACTAGGACTCTACCCTGAGGAACTCCTGCGGACATATCCAGGGGCTAAGATGATTGTCCTTCAACAACCACAACCAGCTTCTAGCCATGTCGGCCAACCAGTGGTGAGACTGTGTGTGTGGGGCAGTTGGAGGCAAGAGGTCTGGTGATAAAATCTCCAAGAATATGTATAACTGGTATAGACAACCATAACCTGCAACAGAATGTCATTCCTACCTGAGACACCAGCAGAGAGCAGCTAGGTGTGACATTGACTTTTTGCTCATGGATGTTGCCATTACTTCCAAAGGCTGGCTCTATTTATGTACTGCATAGGAATGGTACTTAACAATGACAACTTAATCACAGCTATCTTGTCAACTACTTGCTATCTTTCTTATAGTTTATTGTTATTTGCCATTGCTCCCTGCTACTTTTATAATTTAGCCATTGTCCATCTTTTCTGGTTTATGACCACGTCTAATCAGTGATTTCTGATATGATAGTCACCATAGTCTCAAAGGACTGCAGTCTCATTAGAGAGTGACAACTGGCAGTGAGTTAACCTGAGGGTCACCACACCTCAGGCAAGGGGCAAGGTCGAGAATGTGGGACCTTCATGGTGATCTCAGCTGATACAGGAATTGAACCAGTGCTGCTGACATCACTCTGCACCACAAACCAGCTGTCCAGCTAACTGAGCTAATGGGACCCCAATTTCTGATATGTAACTGGTTAGAAGCATTTCTTCCTGTCATTACCTTGAAATGCAATTCATTTGCTTTAATCACAAGGGATTTCTGTGATTTGAAACAGTAACTTCACTTTGTTTAAGTGTTTCTGCTTCTGACAAAATAAGCCAGTTTGGCAAGGCTTTGATTGGTTGACATTCACTATGAAGCGTCAAAATTGTTGGAACTGCAGCTTGAATTTTTAGGAATCAAAACATATAATATGAAAACACTTTGAATCATTCATTGGGTTTTTGAATTTGATGTTGAGGAATTATGAAATGTTTCAGCAGAAAAACACAGGAGCTTTTATTATCCATTTATTCATAACTGATGCAATTGTTAAAGAACAGAAACACTAAGCTTAAATATAGGTCTAAATAATATATATTTTAAATAAACAACATTAAATCTTCCAAAAGGTCGGGCTGCTTGAAGATATACGTTACAAGAACCATTCAAATCTGTTGATTAGAAATACAGTTAACAAAACATAGAAACAGCACTGAAGGCCACTTGTATGAAAATCATGTTTCCTTCTTAATTTGAAACAGCAAACTGGAAGTTAACTGTTTGTAATTATCAAGAAAAATGTCTCCTGGGCAAGGCACAAATACCTGTCAGCTACTCTCAGTCTCAGTATATTGACCTCTAATAGATTGAAACATTAATACAAAATACAGTTAAAGAGTAGAAGAAAGTGTTCGTGTTACAAAAGGTATGGCAGGCCCTTTCATCCTCATTTTCCTAAAGAGACAACATCCTTTTTTTTCCTTTTTCTCTTGTTGGACTATTAAAACATGTAAAATTGATATGTTGCTAATATGCAATATCCTTGGCATGCTTGTCATTCACAGATGCTGCTATATATACTCTCAAAACACTTTGTACACAATCTATCCCAAAATAAAGCCTCGAAAGATTATGAATTGTTTTCATTGATTTATATTTATGCCAAATGATGTTTATGGATAATAACTGCATGATACATTTTATCTTGCTAAATCCTTCACAGTGATGCTACTATCATTCACATTCAAATCTATAGATGGGTCACATCTCTTAGAAGGGGCTACCTTTTCAAAACACAATTATGAATTAAAATCCATTAGCCTTATCCTCTAGGTGAAAACAATGGGAACATGTATCCAATTTCTTCAAAAAGGAATGGAAGCCAACATTATCAGAATGCAATGGCATTCTCATTATTTATAGACATAATGTTGCCTTTGGAATGTGCAGCATTTACTGTTATATTTGAACAATGTCTTGGTTACCTGTACAGCTTTTTGTTGTCACTCAGTGCACTGGAATTTTTGTTGAAGTTATAATCTTTTTAAGACTCATATGGTGCACACTGTTAAAATTGCTAAATAATTTGCAACAAGTGAATACATTAATCAACATTATCTTTACTTATTGTAGCGGCTACCTTTATTTGTGTGAGTTTCCTGAAAACCAAGATCTGAAGATTAAAAAAAATCCTTTGCAGCAGAAAAGAAAATAAGTGGAAACTCATTTATTTTTGACAAGAAAACCACAAGACATGAAGTAAACCAATTTGCTTAATGCAATATTGTGGTTTAACTAGTAATATTGTTCCATGAGCCTCTAGTTTTATAAGCCATCCAGTACAATTAATTCCTCTTAAAGTCAATTAACTCAATTTAGCTGATATCTGAATTATTTTGAGAATTTAATACCATATTTCCTATATTCTTTATAATTGATTGTTCTAATTATTGAATAATTTAAATATTTTATCACAGGGAACAAATACAGTGGATTTGTTCTCCTGATACGTTGCCAGCATGAACTCTTACAATCAATTAGGTTTAATAGAGTTTAACTAATGTGGCATTGAAGATCTTAGGATGTGTTTGTGAAAGCCATGGGATTCATACAGTATCACTTCACTGCTCTGCAAAATATAAATATTTGACAAAATAAAGAAATGTGATATTCCTGTGGTTATACTTTCTGTCACTATTGTATTTTCAGCTGCTCCAAACAGCCCTGCAATATCTTTGTGTCATAATAGATCAATGCACAACATTTAAGATATGCCAAGATAAGTGCACTTGAATAGGTGCAAAAGATTCTGAAAAATCTTTAATAAAAAAGTGGGAAGTGATGATTTGTGAAATTTGCACCAGGTATGAGGTAGAACCATAATCCTAACAATGTGCAGGATTATTTACCTTACTTCATCAGGCCTCTTCGTTTAGTTAGTAAGCTGTGTATTTGAGGATTTTTGCATTTCACAAAGAACGTGATTCTGTTTGTTTTTCTCAATATACAAATGGGCAGATTATTAAATTTCATTTGTATTTAATCTTCCATTTTTCAGAACACACTTTCACTTTTTCTATCTGTCATTAAAATGGCAAAGTTATAAACATATAGGTAACTTAGATGGCATGTGTAACAACAAGAATGTTTTGGCAAACCCTTAGGTTAATGAAGGGGACACTGTCTCTTTAAGAATTTGCTTGCAGGTTTAAGTATTGTTAAAAAGAAATGTATCTAATAACTTTCTGCATAGATTCTAACCCACGTATATTGTAGGGATCAAAATTATTTCATTATTGTAGAATAACACAGAAGAAAGGAGGCTTTTTTGTTAATATTGTTGAAAACCATGCACCTACATGCAAATCTTTACAACTTTTAAAATTTATGAAAAAAATTGCTTTTGGAATATTGAAAATATTACCAGTTCTCTAGCGCAAGGCCATGCATTATATGCGATTTTGCCAGTGAAATGCATTGTAACAATAAGCTGTAGGTGTGCTGCAGGAAGCAAGAAACGTGAACCGTTTATAGTGACTGTACATTTATGGGCCATCCAGTGACCTTGCTAAGTTGGCTTATTTGTCGTAGGCCATATATTGTCAGGAAGTCCATCCCCTGTAGATGATAGAGGTGCAGAACCACATGGTGTGTAAGGATCGGTATCTGTGTCCGTTTCACCCTCTGCTAAATAAAGTTTTGATTTTGGCCAACTTCCTCCACCATAAATACTAAAAGTCAAGTCATCCTTTGATTGGGAGATGCTGAATCCGCTGGGAGAGCGCTCCAGTTCCTCATGGTTGACTGAAAGGAGTGATATTGGAGTATCACTGTCTCTTGTGCTTCTCCCATGCCTCCGTGATAATTTATCAGAGAAAGGACTTGCTCGCTCTGCTCCTTGATAGCTGGGACATATGTTACCATCACTGTCGGTCAGCGAGCTTATTGGCAGAACTGTTGGTCTTTCAGTGTATGATGGAGCAGGAGGTGGAGGAAATCTTGATAAGTCAGCAGCTAAAGTTGAAAACTTTGTACTTCCTGGACTCTGTCTGAAGAAACCAAATGGAGCAACAGAAGAAACTTGGACTTGATAACAATTTTGAGGAGCCATATAGCTGCAGGCATCAGGATAGTTTGAGATGACTCTTTTAATCTCTGAGTATTTGTCTTCCGCTTTGTCCTCAACTGGACTTTGCTGAACTGATGTCCCTGCCCCTTTTATTGAATAGTAGCCATTTGATGCAGACGGTTGGGTATTCATATGCTGAATATGCATATCCACAAGGAAATCAATTTTTTTCTCCATTCCTTCAACCTGTGAAGCAGGAAATGTGATCAATTTAAACATTGTAGGTATCTGTCAGTAAAGTAGATGACAGATGTCAGCACATAATGAAGATATTTAACATTTCTCCCTAGCTTTTGCCTGTTTTCTAACAGATTCTCCTTTTCTTAGCCTATACGTATTCTGCTCCAGATAGCTAGTTATTGAGGGCTAATACTGGAGATGATCTTTACTCTATCTTACATTTATTTAATCATAGAACCAATCATATAATCGCAATAGTATGGAAACAGGCCATTCGGCCCAACAAGCCCACACCAACTCTCCAAAGAGCACCTGGACTCATTCCTTTACCCTATCCCTGTAATCTTGCATTTCCCATGGCTAATCCACTGAACCTACATATCCCTGGACTCCAAGGGCAATCCACCTAACCTGCACATCTACGGACTGTGGGAGGAAACCAGAGCACCTGGAGGGCACCCACACAGACACGGTGAGAATGTGCAAACTCCACACAGGCAATCGTCTGAGGGTGGAATTGAACCCAGGTCCCTGGCGCTGTGAGGCAGTAGTGCTGACTACTGAGCCACCCCAAAGAGTTAAACTGTTACAGCGTTAAACAGTACAAATGTACATGTATTAAGCCACCAACATGGCCATTTGAGTGTCTCTTGATATGTGCTCAAGTGAAACCCCCGTTAAGCTTCACTACCAGCAAAACATCAAACATAATACACAATTAATAATGTTGAATATCAATACTGTTGCTGACTATTTATGTCACTGTACATCAGCCAATAAAATGGCATCTACTCTGTCAATATAACCCTGAGTAGATCAAGTTAGATGACAAGGCTCTGCTTGTTTCATCATTATCACATAATAAAATTACACGCAGGCTATTTAGTAAGGAACCTCATTATGAAACCAGAAGTATGACTGCCGTTAATTTATGAACATACATAACTTGATAAAGTCAATTGTTATATTATGCTAACTGATACAAATACTGCTTTACAGAAATGCTTACTACATTGCAGATGATCAGGGCAATTCTATCCGTTTATTGTAGTTTAACTGAAGGGCTACCAGCAGGAAAGGTCTTCTGTTTGTCTTTACTGAAGCAGTGATAATGTAATCTGGACTAATTTGCAGTGCTGAGGAACTCTGAAGCTCATGCAGACTGGCAATGGTTTCCAAAGCACGTAATTGGATTTGACCAAAGTCAGGAGTGGGTAGGGTGAAAAAAAGAGAGGTTATATGTAATAGTTGTGACATTTAAAATTATTTTTCAATTCCACTTTTGATTTCCAACCATTTCTGGCTATTCTGCCATCCCAATATAACTTGTTTACAGGATCAAGAAAATAAAACACAAGTTTTTCTTTAATCTGTTGGCTACTCCAAATCAGTAGCACAAAGTGACATCCTTTACTTGACTTTGGTCAAGCAGTTCTAAAGAATAATCATATCAGAATAAACCATTAACTCTGTTTTCACACCAATGCTGCCAGACCTGCTAAGTTTGTCTGGCATTTTCTCTTTTTATTTCAGATTGACAGCACCTGCAGTATTTTGCTTTTATTTAATTTTGTCAAGGGTTGAAAAGTAAGTCACTTTATTGTCAAAGCCCTAAGTAGCTTTATTTCATAATATGTAACTGGAAAAAAATTAGAATGTTCACAGTTTACCATGAATTGAAACATAAATAATAGCAGTATAACATAGTCACACCTAAGGACATCACAGCTAATTCTAGAACATGGTCTATACATGGTAGTCTTAAGTTAGTGGCCTCGCTGAGAACACACAAGAACACAAGAATTAGGATCAGGAGTAGACCTTTTGTCCCCTTCAGCCTGCTTCACTACTTGATAAGATTACAATTGATCTAATTTAGGAAAGAAAATACTGACTTTGGAGGCTGTTTGAAAGAGATACACTAGGCTGATTTTTAGGATAAAGGGTTGACTTGTCTAGGATGGTTAACCAGGTTAGGCCTTTATTCATTAGAGTTTAGAAGAATGTAGGGTGTTCTTATTAAACATGCTAGATTCTGAGGGGACATGACAGGGTACATGTTGAGAAGTTGTTTCCACTCATGGGGACAGTCTCAAACTAGGACTTGTTGTTACAGAATCAGGGGGCCACTCATTTAGAAGTGAAATGTGAATGAATTTCTTTTCTCAGAGGGTTGTGAATGAAGGAATTCTGTACCCCAGAGAGTTGTAGAGGTTAGATCAATGCAACATTTAAATAATTCGGAGATAGATTTTGAAATATCATGGAGTTGAGGGCTATGAGCAACTGGCACAAAAGAGAAGTTGAGGCCAATGGCATTATCAGCCATGATCTTATTGAATGGCAGAGCAGGATTAAGCAAATAAATGGCCTACTCCTGTTCCTATTTCTTGTTATGTTCTTACAAAGTAGTTGTTTAATGTCCTGCCATTTTATTGTACTCTGTTACAAACTCTCTAATTTCAGCCAATAAAGCGCTTCATTTGTCTTCACTAATCTTTTTCTCTTTTTATATACTTATAGAAGCTCCTACCATTCACTTTTGCGTCCGTTGCAAATGTATATTCACATTCTGTTTTTCTCCTTTTAATCAAACTCTTGGTCCTTCTTTGCTAAATTCTAAACTTCTCCTAGTCCTCAGGCTTGCTATTTTATCTAGCAACACTCTGTGACTCCTCTTTGGACCTTATACTTTCTTGATTTATTTTACTAGCTGTGATTTGGGCCACTTTTCCTCTTCTGTTCTTTTGCCTGAGAGGAATCTTTAGCTGCTGCATTGTATGTACTCATTCCTAATATATAATCATTCCCTTTGCCTTTAATTAAATTATGTAGTTCTTTATAGCCAACTCATTCTTCATATGTTCAGTTTCTTTTGTTTTGATTTAGGGCCCTAAATTGGACTGGACTGATTTACTTTGCAACCCAAAGAAAAATTCTATCATGTTATGGTTACTGTTTTTTTTAGAAGTACACCTCACAGGTTTGTTAATTAACCCCTTCTCATTACAGGGAGGAGGGACAACAGCCAGCCAAGCACGGATTGGCAACTGAGGATATTCCAGAGATGCCCTACCACACCACCACCGACACCCATCTGCCAGGGGCACAAACAACTCTATCAGGCTAGGCTAAGGAGGGTGTCCCTGCACATGTGCAGGACACCCATAAAAGGCTGGAAGCCTCTAGGTCCTAGATCATTGGACAATACCCACCAAAGTTGCCTAAAGCAAGGTGGAGGAGGAGGCACAGTCTTCCTCTAACTCAGCTGCAACTGCTGAGGAGGCACCAAGATGGAAAGGTAGGAAAAGAAAGATAAAGAACTTTGAAGTCACTTTGGGTGCACAGTGGTAAACCTTCGGCACAACCTGACACTTGACATAAATACAGCACCTTGTACGACAGTCCTGTGATCTCTTTCAATCTGTTAAGGCTTTTGACTATTCATGTTCTCCATGTAGCCTACTTTGAAAGACAGTGATCATCCTTGACACTAAATGCATCTCGTGTAGCTGTGCAAAGAAGTACTGCTGTCTTCTGGGTGTAAGATAACCTCTGGAAAACCGACACCAGCCAGATGCTTGGGTTTCACAAGGCAGACAACATAGTTTAGCCCCCTCTAGGTCTCACTGATGGATGAATGTCCTTTAAATGACAATTTGAGTTGTATAAACACAGCCCCCATGTAACCCTGCATTACTTCATACTGACACTCTGGTCAGAAAAATGAACAGGAGGTCATCAGTGCAAAGGAAATAAATAAACCTACAATTTATGTCAAATAAAGTTTGTTTTTAATGTTTTAATGTATTAAATCAAGTGTTCCCTGGAGTGTAGGAATGCCTCTGTCCCTCCTTCCTAATCTGAGGAGACAGGAGGCTAGTCCATCTCCTGAGTCCTTGTGTAATTGTATTTCTCAGTTGGGTGTGCTTGTGAAGTGCAGGACCACATGCAAACAGATCTAGGGTCCCTCACATTGTACTGCACACTCTCTGACTGTCCTCATTTCAAAAACCTATTTAGAGAAAGATGGCGGTTATAAACTTTTTCTTCACTGTCCATCCCTCCCCTCTAGGATACATTCCTCCTCCCTGCCGCCCTCACCATGGTCAATGATCTCTCCTTTCCTTTATGATCCCCTGTGAACTTCTTCAGTGTCCCTCTGTGACTGCCAGCCGTTTCACTACCTTTCTCAATGCTCCTACTCTTCCCTCTGATCACACTACCATCAGATTCCCATGCCCAGACATTAAGCAAGCCCCTATTCAGTTCTCCCTCCCTATAACACCCAATTATCCCTTTATATTCCCCCACACTAAATATGCAGCTCCCATCCTTACCCTGTCACTCGGATTCTCCCATCTGCATCCCAGTTCCCTCCCTTACCCCTAACAACCATGCCCTTTAAGTTAATTTCCTGCCATTCCATTCCATTTGGCCCATCTTTCTATGAAATTTTTCAACTGAGCAACCCTTTCATTCCATACCCTTTCTGAAGTGAGACCCACTTGCCTGTCCAGTCAGGTTTGTCAGTGCCTGCCAGCGTGGCTGCTCGCTTAGGAAAGCTCGTGGGTTCAAATCAGGCCAGTGACCTTCACTCCTTAAACTGTAAGTGCATAACTACAAGGTGACAAGCGAGGTGACAAATTTCTCTGATTTCTCTTGAGCTGGCTGATACAGAGAAGATTCACCCCTTACAGTGTAAATATATAGCAACTAACTGAAATTGGAGGAAGAATTCTACCCAGCCAGCAACATGCCTTGGATATATACTCTGGTTCATACACCCATATTTCGTGCTTATGGCTAACAAAATTACACCCATGAACACAGTTCTAGCAGGTAGGAACAAAACTTTAACTCACCATCAGGAATCTGAATTTCTGCCTCCCTCCCAATTAAGTTTCTCTGTCTGCCCTGCTAAAAGCATCTGGCAAGCCCAGAAAATTCTATCCCATGTTCCTGTAGCATTATATCAGCTAAGATTGGAGTAGCAGTTTATGATTTTGACAGAACTGAGGAAGGGTCACTGGACCCGAAACATTCATTCTGATTTCTCTTCACAGATGTTGCCAGACCTGCTGAACTTTTCCAGCAACGTCTGTTTTTGCTTCTGATTTACATTTTGACAATGCGGTTTATTCATGTACGCCATGAACTTTTTCCATTATCACTTTGTAGACTTATAACAATACAGAAGAGGCCCTTCAGTTTGTATTATCAAAAATACACTAGTATGTACACCATTTCCACTTTCCAGTACCAGGCCCATTGTCTTCATTTCAAAATGTTACTCCATTAATGTCTCTCCATACTGAAATATATGTTACCTTATTCTTAATAAGTGATTGCGCATAAACAAAAGCTTTTCTTTCAGATAGGAGCTCTTGAAATTCTAAAAGTAATGGTTAAGAACCTAATTCTGGTCATCAAAGTACAACTGCCAAAATCAGCTTTGGTACATAGCCACTGTGAATGGAACAAAGCAATGTAGGTAGACAGGAATCTTGGACAGAATTGGAATAGGTGGAACGCTTAGCAAATATAAACGAGGTGGAAACTGAATCTATTTGGATAAAACAAAGACATAATATTTAAGGGAGATAGCAAAGGAAAAGCTGTGAATCAGATGGAATTCTGAGGAAAATAACCCTGATCGTCATTATAATAAGAATTTTATGTGTATGATTCTTATCAAGACGGATCAACAGGATTTCCATACACCCTGCAGACCCAACTATTCAGCACTCCCAATCAGACAACCCACCCCGGCCTGATTTCCTCTCCCGATTGCCCAACTATATTCCTGATGGATCCTTCCTCACAACAGCCCAACTACTGCACCATTATCCCCAGCCTGACTCCTTTCAAAACCCTACATCCCACCCTCCCCCTGTCACCTACCACACCTACAGTCAGGCTTGTCCTTTAAAATTAACATGGAACAGCGAGTGTCATAAAAAGGGTGTGTCCCTCTGACAGAGTTCCCAAAGGGATGCTGTGCTGCATGTTGCTGTGAAAACCAGGATCAGAAGAAACCAGAAGCAAGGCTCAGCAGTTTTGAGTTAGGGGAGTTTATGTGTTCAGCAGCAATCTGCTTGTCATTCAGAAGATTCAGGCCTTTCATTATATTTCACTGCTGTCACTTTACATAAAGTTAGAGATTTCCACAAGATCCACACAGACCAAAGATATCTGCGCTGGTAGTATCTCAATCTGAAAGTCAATGCTTCAGTGTCCTTATCCTGTTCAGAATTATTTGTAAACATATGGACAACGGCTGTTTGAAATATTACCTGTCTTTCAACCTTGACAAATCTTCCCATCATACTTTGGTCTTCAGCCTCCGGATCAGAACCTTTGGCGACATCAGGATCAATTCTGATTGTAGTACAGACAGTGTTATTAACAAAGGCTTCAAGATACACAAAGCAAGTACAGAACAATAATGATATACCCATAATATTGCAATAGCAAAAATACTTACCACCATTTCCTTCTGCTGAATTTATCCCTCCTGTGATTTTCTTTTAGAAGTTTAAAATATAGTTATACTGTTACAGTATCACAAGTTAAGGGTAGATTGTGCAGAATCTGCATGTGTCCAATTCCAGGAAGACGTCAGAAGAGAATAATGGAACAATTTTGTCCAAACATGCTAAGAAGATATTCAGATTTATCAGAATTATTTTTCATTCAACCCTGGGATGTGAGTGTTGCTGGCTAAGCCAGCACTTATTGCCCATCCCTAACTGATCAGATGCCTATTAAACCAGTTAAGAGTCAACTACATTGCTGTGGGTCTGGAGTCACATGTAGGCCAAACAAGGCAAGGACTACAGTTTCCTTTCCTAAAGCATACTTGGCTTTACCAACAATTGACAATGGTTAATTGCCATAATTAGACTAATTTTAGATTTTTTTTAACATTGAATTCAAATTTCTCCATTTGCCACAGCAGGATTCAAACCTGGATTCCTAGAACATTTCCTGGGTCTCTGGATTAATAGTTCAGTGGTTTGTAAAAAAGTTGAAGTCACCATATCTCAGGTGAAGTGTGAAGTTGGTAAGGTAGAACCTTTACAGTAATCTCAGCCAGTATGGAAGTTCAACCTACACTATTGCCATTATTCCTACCTTATGAAACAGCCAACTGGCCAACTCAGTTATAATACCACCACATAAGTACCTCCCCATAATAAACTGACATTAAAAAGTACAATTGTGGAAGTGGACACTGTCATCCAACATAACAGCTTAAAGATCGACTTTGTTTCTGCACTCTCTACCCTACATAGACAGTGAAATCTAGGGAGTAATGGAGAATCACAGAGAAATATTATACTGCATTATTCAGTGTTTTTGCAGTCCTGTAATATTAAGCAAAAATCTAAACATTAATCTATACTTAATTTAATAAAGTTAGTGCCTTACTTAGGTGACTGTTGTAAAGGGTATACAAAACCTCCTTTTGAGGTTGATTTTTTCTGCTTGGGAGTTGATGGGGGTGCAGGAGCAAGAATCATATCAATTCTGGAAAGAAACAAAGAACAGTAAATCATCAAAACTCACTTTGCAATTGCAATGAATGTTTAAAAAATATTTGCTCACTGGATGTGGATGTCACTTGCCAGGCCAGCATTTATTGCCCATCACTTATTGCACATGAGAAGATGTTTTTCAGCTGTAATCTTGCAGTCTGCATGTCCATGTGCTGTAACAGTGCTGTTACGGAGTGAGTTCCAGGATTTCGACCCAGCAATTTTTGAGGAACAGCGATATATTTCCAAGTCAGGGTGGTGAGTGACTTGGCGAGGAACTTGTAGGTGATGGTATCCCCATGTATCTACTGTCCTTGTCCTTCTAGGTGAATCTGTGCGTTGAAACTAATGTTAATACCCAGCTACTCATTTGATTAAAAGCAGTTCCAAAGTTCATCCCCAAAGGATGTTTATATCATTACTGACATATTAAGGCAAATAGAAAATAAGAAAACCCTTGTAACTCTCTTTCATACAAAATATTGAATGTTAAAATTATAATTTAATGTTATTGATAACGTCAATGATCTTTAAATTGCACAGCTGTGAATATTCGATGAATATAAAGATGTAATGCGACACCTAGCAGAATCAGTACTAATGGCCCAGAATATTCTGGAGAGAACCATCTTGCAGTGTGTCACATTCGGTAGATTTTTTTCACTGCTCAACTCAAAATGTTTTCGATTGCAAATTGCAGGACCTGAATGTTAATAATAGCACAGGGAGGTCTATTGTGCACCTGGAATCCTGATGAATGATGGCATTAACAATATGTCTCCTTTATCAAAGAGACTTAAGAATAGAAACTGGAACTGAATCAGTGATGGAGAAGGAAACAGTGATATTTTTCCCCTGCAGTTAACCTGATACTCTCATTGTCTCTGTAGTAACAGACACCTCTTTATTGGTTCATGTTTGTTTATTTGTTATTTGTTTTGTAACAGCCTTTATCTAGGGAATACAGGAAGGTACCTGCAAAGGTACAACATATTAGGGCAAACAAGAAGAATGTGATCATTTTACAGAGGGTATAAAGGTGATATAGAGAATTTTCCTGCATGCAAAATAGAACAACTGGAGTTCTTTACTTTGAGGTGCATAAAATTGAGAGGCCTAGATGGAGTGAGTAGCGAGGATTTACTTCTGCTAGGAGAGCGGTCAATATTCATGGATATAAAAGTTATAAAAGAATTGTGGAAAGATTAGAGGGAATTGAGAAGTAATTTCTTCACCGTTCCTTCTGTGCTGTCAATTTTCTTATATTTCTAAGATGTGGTGCACGCTAAGTTAGCTGTGAGGCTGCAGGCACCCATTGCAAGCAGAGAAATGCTTCCGTTAACTTCATTTATGCCCAAGATCAGAGAAAGGTGACAGTGCAGATAATTCACTGTCTCCTTTTTAAGATGTATGCGATCAGAAAAGAACAATAGCAAAGATCCAAGTAAAATGGATAGCCCTGTTGCTGAAGGCGAACTCACTGACTTAACTACCTAGAAGCTACTGCCCATGTTCTAAGAAAAGAAAGAGACCACTGAACCACACTGCTTAAGAGAATGATGTCATAATAATTCCGAGCCTCATTAATGACATGAAGACATTGGCTATTCTAAGCTCTTAACTTACTAAATATTTAGTATTTAAAATAATCTCACCAGTTGAGAATTTCAAATTCTGGTCATTGTGATAGTCATTTTTCAACATCCACTAGTGCTGATTCATAAGCTGCAATTTTCCATTCCCAAAATGCAGCAGGGAAAGTGGCAAGAAGGGGAGATATTCAAGTGGGTTGGCACTGGTCTGCCCCCTCCCTGCCACCTCTGAAACTGCAGTAGAAAGATCCATGGTCAGCTTTCCTGAGCTGCAGCCAACTGAGGTTCTCAAGTTGAAAATTAATGACAAATGAAGAGCCTCATCATACCACTGCCTAAAGTAAAAGTGTTTCTGACAGGAGAAAAAAAAAAGTTGCAGCCACCCCGACTAGTAAAATGGAGCAGCCTGCCTTCCATTAGGGGTCATTGGGGTAGGAATGGGGCCATTGAAAACCACTTCACTGTCTGTGCTTCCAACCCTCCTGAGACCCCTCTCCCACAATCTGTGTCCCATGACATCCTCTGACAAGTCCCTTCCTTACTGCTGCTTGTAGGCTTTGGCACCACTGTATAGTCAGCAACCTCACCCTATGAAGCACGACTGTTCTGATTGGCTGGCAGCTTCAGATGGAGCGCAAGATCGCTGTACCAGGAAGTGATGTGCAAAAAAAGTCTTGCTGGGTACTATTTAAGTGCCTGATAGGCTGACAAACTATTAGATTTCCCATTTCTGGTGGTGGGCCTGCAGGTTATACTCACCCCTGCTCAGTCCAAAATGGAAAATCCCAGCCACAGTGACATATTGAATGGCAGATATAATCATTTCTATTATTTGTTGCTCTACTGCTAGATAACAGTACCTCCACTAATGTCTGAGATAACAAGGTGTAGAGCTGGATGAACACAGCAGGCCAAGCAGCATCAGAGGAGCAGGAAGGCTGACGTTTCGGGCCTAGACCCTTCTTCAGAAATGGGGGAGGGGAAGGTGGTTCTGAAATAAATAGGGAGAGAGGGGGAGGCAGATAGAAGATGGATA